GCAAACCCAGCAGAGAATGGGTTGAGCCCCAGGAGGGACGTGAGGTGGGGAAGCTGCAGCACAGGCAGAGGAGGGCCCAGGACAGGTGTTGTGCTCTCAGAGAAAACACGCTGATCTCTTCCTTCTCATCACTGGCCAGACTTGGCCCCTTATCTGACTCGGCTTCTAATAGATTCCCTTTGTACAGGGAAGGGGCTGGGCCAAATGATTTTGTGAGTCCCTGGACTTTTGAGGTTTGTTGAAATTTTCTTTCTAGATTCTCTTGACATACGATGCCTAAAACATCTGTTTTGTGCACCGTGATCACCTGCTCCAGGGCAAGCACAGAGGAGGTCCCCACCCAGTCTGGCCCCAGGTGGAGGTTCCTCTCTGGTTCTCCCACATCCCGAAGTAACTGTGAAGATGACCTTTCCATTCCAGGCTTAGTCTCTCAACTCTGAGACCCATTATCTGAGGGTCTGGCCCCTGCCCACCACTCCCTCAGCTTCATCCAGCCCACCATGCATCCTGGCTTAAAATGGCCTCGCCACCACCACCCCCTCACCCCAGGACTGGCGGTTTCCTAAGGCCCAACACTGCCTTGATCACATGATTTACAGGAAATTGCTGTCATCTGCAACCTTTTTTTCCACACCCCTTTTTACTTGTGAGGATGTGGATGTCTCCTCTATAACCAGGTAACCTTGGGGTCAGGGCAACACTCCCGTGGGAGATGGGTGGACGATGGGGTTCTGAGCCCCTGAAATCACAGTGCTGTGCTGCTTGAGGTGTCCCAGGTGTTTCTGCTGGGATCAGCTGTGAAGGGTTGGATGGGGGAGGCTGCTGGTGTGTTTTTGGCTTTCTTCTCTTCCCAGTAATGGTGACTGCCAGACCTCAGTTGCCTTGCTTCTGTATCTCCACCTTTGTCACTGGGATTAGCCAGTGTGCAGCTGCCACTCAGGATCTGTCTTTCCAGTTCTCAGGGCTGAGGATATTCCGCTCTTTAACCCAACATTCAGTGCTACAGTTTCTCCTGGGGTCCTCTGCTAGCTCTGGGAGTGTGCAGGGAGGTGAGCTCTGAGAGGATGGGGCAGGCAGCCAGGCTCCGTGGCTTTGTTTTCTTCCTGGCAGTAGCAGCTGCTAGATCACAGCTGTCACATTTCTGTATTCGGTCTCTGTCCCAGGTCTCTGCCCAGATCCTGGGTTCAGCCGTATTATTTGCTGATCACTCAGGCAGGAATGTTCGAGCCACAGAGAGTGCACCTGAAGCCTGAATCCTCTCCTCTCCCAGGATGAACAGTGAGCTCTGGGCTGCATCCCTGGCCCTGTGTCTGCACTTCTCCCTTCCATCCTCCCCTATTTGCCCTGATTCACCCTCCTTAAGATGTTTTGATGCGCTGATCTCTCAGACGTGTTTGTGTGTTATGCAGGGAATTTTTTGTTGAATTATAGCTGTTCAACTTGTAATTTCAAGGGGAGAGGTCAAGGGGACCCTTCACGCTGCCATGATTCTGACATCACTTCTCATTGTAAATATCTTATTTACATCTAGTTTATTTCCATTTATTATCAGAGAACAAATAGATCTCTGATTTTAATCTTTTGAAATGTATTAAAATTTATTTTATGCCCTAGACAATGGATTATCTTGATCCTTTGCCCAATTTTTAATTGGGCTGTCTTTTATTTTGGAGTTACAAGTATTGTTTATATATTCTTGATACTAGCTACTAATTAGACATACATTTGCAAGTATTTTTTCCTATTCTTTTAAATTTAGTAAAGATTTTTTATTGTGAAATACACATTTAAAAAAATTAGTTTCAGCTGTACAACATAGTGCAGTATTTATACTTTTTATCCCTCAGAGTGACAACTCCCCTCCCCCAATCTGCTGTATTTTTTCCTACTTTGTAGGTTGTCTTTTCACTTTCTTGATAGCTTTCTTTGAAGCTTTAAAGTTTTCATTTTAAAAAGTACAATTTATCTATTTTTCATTTTCTTGCTTGTGCTTTTTTATATCTAGGGATCCATTGCACAATCCAAGATCATGTGGATTTACACTCTTTGTTTTCTTCTAAGAGTTTTATAGTTTTGGCTCTTACATTTAGGACTTTGATCCATTTTCACTTAATGTTCACATATGGTGTGACATAAGGAACCATACTCATTCTTTTGCATGTGAATATCTATCCAGTTGCCTCAGCACCACTTGTTGCTTCCCCTATTGAATGATCTTGGCACCCTTGTTGAAAGTCAGTTGATCACAAATATAAAGGTTTATTTCTGAATTTTCAACTATATTCCATTGACCTATATCTATCCTTATGCCAGTAACACACTTTCTTGATTACTGTGCTTTGTAGTAGGTTTTGAGATCTGGAAGTGTGAGTCATCCAACTTGGTTCTTCTTTTTCAAGATTGTGTTGGCTATTCTTGGTCCCTTGCATTTCCATATGGATTTTTAGATCAGCTTGTCAATTTCTACAAAGAAGCCTGTTGGGGTTCTGACAAGAGATTGTTTTGAATCTGTAGATCAATTTGGGGAGTAGTACCATCTTAACAATGTTATGTTTTACAATCCATAAACATGGTATATCCTTTCATCTGTTTAGATATTCTTTAATATCTTTCAACAATGTTTGGAGGTTATCAGAGTATATATTTTATAATTATTTTGTTAAATTTATTCCTGTTTTATTTTTTTGACATTATTATGACTAAAATTACTTTCTTAATTTCATTTTTGACTTATTCATTCAAGTGTATAGAAATAAAATTGATTTTTGTAGATTAATCTTGTATCCTGCATGCTTTCTGAACTCATTTATTATTGGGTCTTCGGAAAAGTCATGATGTATTTTGTCTATGTTTTTCAAAGGTCATGTATTTATATAAAGAACAAAGATCAATCAATGATATATTGCCCGTTTTGTTCGATAACCTTTTGCCATCTTTCAGTGAGCTACATAATTACTCCTTCATAGAAGGACCTGTCATTATTTGTGAAAAACTGAACAAGGTGCTGATTTACAGCCTCACCTGAATTGAACGTTGTACCACACAAGGAGTTTTGAAGAGAGCAAAACAAGTGCAAGT